GAGGGGAGAAGCGGGGGGGGGGGGGGGGGGGGGGGGGAAAACTGAAATATCAACATTAATATTTTTAAATAAAAAATTGTGTGCAATTATTTTATAAAACTACTTGGCAGTATCTACTAAACCTGAACATAATTTCACTCATAAGTATACTTCCAGGAAATATGTATGCATATGTTACCAAAAAACATATACAAGAATGTTCATAACTGTATCATATAAAAACAAGAGCCCAAAACTGGAAACTCAACTAAATATTCATCAACAGTAAAGTGGATGAATAAAGGTAGTAATATTTATACAATGGGAAACTACACAACATGTAGATGAAGTACTGCTATACAAAACAACAGGGATGAATCTCATAGTCAAAATGTTAAATGAAAGACACAGAAGCGTGCACATTGTGAGCATCTATTTATGTAAAGTTTATGAACAGGCAAAACTCATTTATTTTTAGAAGTTAGGATAATAGTAATTTTGGAAAGGAGGAAGAGTATAATAATGACTAAAAGGAGGCAATAGGAGAGTTTAGACTGCAGTGGTTCTCAACCTTCCTAATGCTGCTACCCTTTAATACAGTTCCTCATGTTGTGGTGACCCCCAATTTCATTGTTACAAATTGAACATAATTAAAGCATAGTGATTAATCACAAAAACAATATTTAATTATATATGTGTTTTCCGATGATCTTAGGCGACCCCTGTGAAAGGGACATTTGACCCCCAAAGGGGTCTCGACCCACAGGTTGAGAACCGCTGGTTTAGAGGGTGTTGATTATGTCCTATGTATTAATCTGTTCAGTGTTTAAACAAGTGTACCCACTTTGTGAAAAATTTAGACTAAAGTTCTGGGTACTTTTCTGAATATGTGTTATATTTAATAAACATTTAAATTGTAGTCCATGATTTAGTGAAAATATATTCAATCCTTCAGTTTTATGTCAAATCAAATATATTGCTTTGACCATTTTATGCCTTATTAAGAATTTTATTTTATCTTTCTACTCTAGCTTAAGGTTCCTAGGTTTTTCTCCATGAATGGCCCCAGCTTATATTTGACCTACACATGTCAGTAGTTTCATGTACATTTTAGAAATGCATGTTAAATAATGCTATTACTGTTGGTTTGCTTTCTTTCAGATGCAACATGCAGCATTAAGAATGGCATGTGCAAGCAGTTTTGTAAAAAGGGCACAGATAACAAGGTGCTTTGTTCCTGTACTACAGGATACCGACTTGCAGAAGACCAAAAGTCCTGTGAACCAGCAGGTCAAAATCTAAGTTTTTTTCAAAGTTTGGCAGATATATTCTCCAAATCTACATTTGAACCATTAGCATTTTAACTAGCCAACATAATTATAATCCCTACTTGTTTTAACTTCATTATGAAATCATAGAAAAGAGGAATCCCATGAATTGGAAAAAATAATTTTTCAAATTGCATCATTTTAAATAGAAATTCTAAATGTGTTTAGTCTGAATTATTTTCCATGTATCCAAATTTATTTTTACTTTTATATCATGAAGCAATTGATTTTTGTACATATATTTGTAATTCAACCAGGCAAATTAATGTAGTAATCCCATGCCATGAAAGATACATAAATGATGGACTGATAGGCTTTTAGTACAAGGATGGCTGAATTTTAAGCATGATTCTGCCAAGGTGTGGCTGGTTTCCTCTGAGAAAGTTATTTCCTATACTTGGGTCTCAGGCTGAGTTTATACCCTTAGCATGAGAATAGTTCCAACAACCATCCGTTTTAAGCCATGCCAGGCTGCTCAGCACATCCCTCCCTCTATTCAGCAGTGGACAAGGCAGTGTTTCCCAGTCATGTTAACTATGCTGCCGTGTTGACAGCTGATTGGTGTATCCAGAACATCACCACTCCGCACTCCTATGGCTCTTCTCTGAAAAATGAAAGCAGTAGAAACTTTTATTGTTTTTTTTAAAGTAGGCTTTGCAGGATCAATTATATTTGATAAATGAGGGCCCTTTTTGAAACATATACAATTTATTTTGCATTTCCAAAGCCTGATATCTTATTAAATTGGTGCATTAAATCATGCACCATTTCTCTGTAACTGGGTTCAATACCTATCTCAGTAATGCACTCAGCAGAGGAAATTAAAGGACCAGAGGCCAAGAGTATTCATGCTGTAACTAAAATAAAGAGTATTTAATGCTTCAAGGGCCTGTCTGTCCTATCTGGTTCTTCATATACACTGTCTCAAAGCCAGCCTACTTGGAAATATGTATTATTCCAGTGTAGACTGATGGCATATTAGCTAAATCCTTACAAACCCTTCAATGTTATAAGAGAGAAAAAAAAGAATGGAGAGCCACCTCCAAATATTGTGTTACATCTGAATATAGCCTTAGCTTTAGCAGAATAAGTAGGCCAAACCTAAAATAAGCTTTTCTGTTTTTCAATAGTAATGGTCCCTTTCCTCTAACCATTGATGATTTATATTTATACATAAGTATTTTGAACAAATTTCCTGTTTTCCCAACCACATGCTGTCTTCATGATACTTTGCCACAGCTGGTTGCTATAGAAATGTCTGTTATAAGCAATGTGGCTGGAGGGGAAGTGAGAAATGAAAATAAAATGTGAGGTGACTTTGCTTGACTACAAATTTCCATTCTGGTTGCTTCCAATGAATCAGTAGACAATTTCTTTTACTTTTTAGATATACATTTTTATTGATTTGAGACTAAGGGAAAGGGAGAGAGAGAGCGAAACACCAATGATGAGAAAGAATAATTCAACGGCTACCTCCTGCATGCCCCACACTGGGGATCAAGCCCGCAACCCAGGCATGTGCCCCCACTGGGAATCGAACCATGACCTCCTGGTTCATATGTCGACACTCAACCACTGAGCCACACCAGCTGGGTGACAATTTCATTTCTTTAGGAAATAAACCAACCCAATGTAAAAAGGTGGCCAGTTCCCAAGGTGGACATGGCTGTGATAATCATATGAGTAATTTGGTTAATACTTGATAATCATGTGATTAAATCACAATGACCCCCCTCCCCCAAGAAATACCTAAAATCCACTTTGGAATCTAGAAGGCATTCTAGTCTACAAAAGAAATCCTGTTAACAATAAGCAGCAGGAGTACCATTTACTTAATTCTAAAGTTAAAGTTACAAGGCACCAATCATCAGATTTGCATTTAGGGACAGTACTTGGGAATAAAACTTTTTAATAGAAAAAAAACTAAACAGAAAGTCATTAGACTTTATAAAAGTCTTACAAAATTTGATTCTGGAACTCTTATCCTATTTCTGTAAAGATGATGCATTCTTGAACCAAATCTTCTTTTCATGAAGGGTTTGAAAACTTACCACGAAAATAATTTAATTAACCTTTTAGTTTGAGACGATATTAATTGATTCGATTTTTTAAAAATATTGATGGGTCTGCTTTTCAGAAGTGACAAGGATGGGCCTCATTTTTAATCTTTGTAATATATGTTCTGCTTGCCAATGAGAAATACTCAAATTCTTTTTTTTTTTTCATTTTTCTAGTGCCATTTCCATGTGGGAGAGTTTCTGTCTCACTCAATTCTCTGAAGTTTACTCGTGCTGAGACTATTTTTTCCAATATGGACTCTGAAAATTCTACTGAAGATGAAACAATTTTGGACAACGTCACTCAAAGCACCCAACCATTTAATGACTTCACTCGAGTTGTTGGTGGAGAAAATGCCAAACCAGGTCAATTTCCTTGGCAGGTACTCTATATTGATGGTGTGTCAAAACTAGAGGGCGGGCGGGGCGGGGGGCAGACAAGCCAGGTGGGAGGCTGAGATTAGGACATTAGGTGTGGGAAGTGTTTCAGTACTAAGCAACATGAGGAAACCCCCATAGGTGGGGAGCTTGTGAAAGAGAAGTCCAGGGACAGTTACTATACAAGGTCAAGGAGAGTTTGGCATCAAGGAAATAGCATAGCAGGATTCCAGACAAGCCATAGTGAGGGCTAGAAGTGAGGTTACAGGTACTGGGGTTCAGGGTACTACTTTAGCTTCAGCTCCTGGAAAATACTGGTAAGCATCAGAAAATCTCTAGGTCCAGAAAAACTGTATTATTTCTAAGGGATTGTAAAAAGGACTCAAGTAGGAAGAATGAAAACAAGAACTGGGCTATTGGAACCAGGGTATGAGATAGGGACTGGGTCCAAGCCTGTGGTTCTCAAAATGTGGTAGCATCAGAATCTCCTGGGAACTCGTTAGGAATGCAAATTTTCATGCTACACCTTAGTCCTGCCAGATCAGAGTCTCTGGGGGTGGGGCCCAGCAATTTGTGTGATACAAGTCCTTCCGGTAATTCTAATGCACACTATAATTTGAAATCTAATGGTCCAAATGAAACAATCTTGTTGCAGAAGCTAAGGTTCAAAACTACAAACAGTGGAATCATGGTACCTAATCGCACATTCCTCCAGGTGTGAACTGCAGACAACACACATGAGAATCACCTGTGCAAATTTTTGGGGTGACAATCAAGAGCTAACTTTGTAACAAAACCTGGGTTGTTACTGGCTATAGCTAAAGCCTAAGGGATTCTATCAGAGAGAAGGAGTAGGACCCAGAGATCAGGATCTAGGCTGGTCCTTATATAAAGTTGTGCTGTCCAATAAGGTAACTACTAGCCACATGTGGCTATTTAAATTTAACTACCATTAAATCAAATTTAAAATTAATTTCCTCAGTGACACCTGCCATATTTCAAGTGCACAATAGCCACATATGACTACCATATTGGAAAGCACAGAAACAGAACATTTCCATCATTGCAGAAAGTTCTATTGGACAGCACTTATAACAGTTGAGTCTAACATAGAACTCCCTAGTGGCCACAATCATGTGATTTTATAGTAATCTCAAGGATGCTTCACTAAACCTCTCTACTGAGGTTTGAATATTTGTCATCAGAGACCAGTAGCTTTAAAGACGTTTCAATTATCAAACAGGTAGCAATTTAAGCTAGGATCAGGTAAATGTCCCCAAGTTTAAAACTACTGGAATTTTTTGAGGCTAGCTATGTAACTATCTAGAATTCTTCTGATTACCTGCATTTACCCAATATAATGCTTATAAGATATTGAACTTACCCCTGGAAGGTGAGGGATTTGGCACAGACATTCCAGAGAATGGTACTAAAGGGTTATAGACCATCACAACCAAAACTTTATATTTTACTTTCTTTTACCTTTGCTTTTAACAATATTTGTTGGACTTGATCTTATACACAATAAAATACACCATATGTTCCTTTACACCCCCTCTATCCCCTACTTAAGCATCCTACCAGTGCTGCTTCCTTCTCTCACTCACATCTTTACTTTCATTCATGACTCTTGATAAGAATAACCTTTGACCTTCTTATCAACCTCTCCTTGAACAATCCCTCTTGGGTCAGCCACTCTAATTATGCTTTATTCTATTTAACATCTATGTGTCTAATTCTAATTTTATTATTTGTGTTCTTATGTTTTCATTCACTCTATATCCAACTTCCATGGGTAAGTTGCTTAGAACAAAAATTATACTTTGTAAGTTTTATCTTCCTTGGGCTTGTGGGACATAAAACAGTGCTTAGAGTGGAGGACCCAGTCACCCAGTGTTTCATTAGCTAAGAAGATGACTTCCCACTCAGAAAAAAAAAACACACCAGGATTTTTTTAAAAATCCCAGAATGCATGCATTGCAGGCTTAGCATTGTTCCCTTGTCATCCCAGAAATAAAATGGCAAATATATTTAAATGAGAGCTAAAAATATGGGGTTTTGTTGTCTCAGTTTAGTCATATAATCTCTGTTCCCTATGCACCCCTTTTAAGCCAGATGCTTGCCAATGTTTGAACAACGCAAGTCTTTCCTAATAGAAATTTTACTCTAGGAAGCTATTTTTTTTCTTTTAAGCAAAAGAAACTATTAGATGACAGTTATAGTTGCACTGTGAGGAAGAAGATATAAGTGATACACATCATTTCAAATCTGTCATGTCCTCCTCAATGCACACTTGTAGTTAGTGTACCTGTTACCTCTTTCCAATCAAGCCAAGCTAAGATAATTTGGAATGTTCAAAATCACTTATCCACCTATATGCACATGTGCACACACATGTTCACTCCCTATTTTACACACATGAATTAAGATTATGGACTGGGGAACTACAAAGTACTAGGTTTTAGTTTTTCCCCAAAAGTGAAGAGCTGATCTACTTTCTTGGATACTTCAGAATGACCCAGTCATATTTCTGCATTGTTTCCATCCTCACCAGAGGACTGTCCACACCCACCTCCATGTAGTTTCTCATGAAAGGTTACTTTAGCCGTGTTCGGCTTCCCTCCCTTCTCATCTCGCCGCTTATTCCAAGGAGCCTACCTTACTTGTTCCAGTATGCAGGTCTCTCCGGCTTGCATCTGTGTTGAGCAGGGACTTCTTTGTTGAATTATAGGTGTTTATTTTGTTGAAATGTTAGAGGGAGAGGACAGACCCGCATTTACGCCGCCATTCCTCTGACATCACCTCCCAAAAATATCAGATACATTTGAGTATATAAAAGTCACTTTAGGCTAAGAAGAAATAGAAACGAAACAAACCAGAATCTCTCATTTGTGGGAGAGCCAGCTCCACCTCATCACAGTTAATCTGCAGGGTGGAACTACTTGATTTGATTGCAAACAAAACTGCAACACACTTGCTGCAGCCCAAGGCATCAAGAGAAAGCAAGCAACAGCTGGGGTTTCAAAGGCCAAAATATTCTATGGCAATGAAATAGAAAATACTGTTTAGCAATGCCACCTAAAAAAGAGTGGTTCAAATGCTGATGCTTCATAAAAAGGGGTGGGAGATAAAGCAACCACTTAGGTAAAGAAATCCCAAAAAGAACTGAGTTGACTTTCATCTGGAGTAATGAACAGTTTGAATGAATTGGAAAGGTTTTAGTCTGTTAGAGAAAAGGTTTAAGTGAGCTGCTTGCAAGTGCTAAAGTGCCACAGTGGAGAAGGGGAAGATGACTTTTTGTTTGTGGATTTATGGGTGAAAGTTACAGGCAGGTAGGCAGGTTCTGGCCCCGGTTATGAAAGCCCTTTACAACCACAAGAACGATTTTGTGGGCTGGGCAGTTTTGGGAGGAAATGCTGTTTGAAAAAAATGTCTAATTGTTTACTTGAACAGCTGTTCTGTCACTGGGGACAGCAGCTGCTGGATAATCCTATGAAGAGTATGTCGAGGGTATTGTTTCACCTAGGGGGAGATTAGAGTAGGTTAGAGGATAGCTTTGAGACCCTAAAGAGCTATGTGCACTTTCCATGTGGCCTGTCCTTAACTTATTTTAGGGCTTTCACCTGGGAAGCTGGAGGCAAGGCCTCCTCAGCAACTGTGGTTGCCAGACACTTCCAAAACCCCCTTTGGTTCTGGCCTGCAAGGCCCCGCCCCGCCCCCCAACCTCAAAGGTGCAGGCTGGCTTGCCTGACCTGGAACCCACATCACCATGACAGAAGGCCTGAGAGAGAGGTGGAGGGAGGTACAAGGCCAATTTCCTTTATTTTCCCTCCAGATGCACCGTGGTGGGCTCAGAGCCACATGAGAGCTTGGGGAAATGAAGCAGGGATACTGCAGGAACACCTCAAGAGGGAAGAGAGGACGCTAAAGGTTTAAGTGCACTATATAGGAACAAAACTGCTGTTTCCTCAAGTCAGTATATCCTTAGCTTCCTTAGAGGAGTGGGAACTAAAACAAGACTCAGAATTTCACACAGCTGCATAGGCAAGCAATGAAAACTTTTCAACATTATAGAAAAAAGGGAAATTGCAATGCTTATATTACAAGACCGCCTTCATCAACAGCTTAAAAGTGAGAGATTTGAGAAGCTAGGCGGTGTTGAGGCTTTCCAAAGCTTTAATTTGGTTTTGGTTCCATGCCCTTGAGGCTGTCTGCAGACAATTCTGAGCATGCGCAAACTTACCCCAAGCGCTCCTCCCACCTCTTCTGCTTTGGCTTAGGATCTGTCCTGCCCTGTATGCCAAGTACCTGGTCTTCTATTTTCTGTTTTATCATGGACCGAATAAAATGGAAGCCAGGTCCTCAAGCTTTCCCTATCCTTTATATTAGGTTGTATCATATGCAATTGCAGATAAACTATTTAACAGACAAAATATGCCTGTCTATTCTTTATTCTATTCTTGGCCTAAAAAATCTTAAAATGTTTTAGCATTTTGCCCAGTCTGAACTTTCCTTGGCTTTGGCCTGAAGCTAGCCTTATAGATGCCCAAACTCTTGACCTGAACAGCTAACTACACAAACCCAATTCATTCCATTCTATTAGGACACACATCCATGGCAGATAGCACACATAGTTACCATATGTATGAAACATGACTTTTTTTCTTTGGTGGAGGGATGGAGGGATTAGGAGGAAGATGTTATATCAAGATCCTAAGACTATAGAAATATCTTCACCTGGAAAAGGTAACCCTCTATTTGTCCTAGCTCAAATGATAAAGTTCCAATTAGGAGAAATAAAAAGATGACAATTGTAATTTCACCTGGCCCCACAAAACTAGTTTGCACAGAACACTTAGACTATTATTCTCTGGGACAGTTTGATGAAATCTATTTCTTTTTTTAAATTTTTATTTTATTTTTTATTGTTTAAAGTATTACATATGTCTCCTTTTTCCCCGATTGACCCCCCCCAGCCACTCCCACTCCCCAGGAAAAGCATCCA